AATAAATAATATTGAGGGACAAAATAAAGAGGAAAAGGTAGGGAAAATGGTCTTCAAAATAGAATACACCCAATATAGATACCGAAGTTTTATCAAAGATTAGGCCTAGGCTGTGGGTTGGAACAGCCTTGGCATTATACGATCTCTAATTATATGATACACCACAATCTAAGATCGTTTCTTTGAAATTTGGTTAGCCACAGGGTAGTGCAGCTGAGTAACCATCCCCAATTTAAGGAGGTACAGCTTAGGTGCAACTCACTAAAAGATACAATTTTTCAGCCTCGAGGAAGGTATCTTATATATCCTATAGTGAGGTCTATTATTGTATTTTTTTTTTGAAAAATGGCCAAATCAACTCAAATTTAATTTTAAATTTTAATAACCTGATAACCCTAACATTCACATTTTTAGAAAGAAATAAAAGAAATTACCGAAAATGAAGATATAAATAATAATTTAATCAAAAATACACAAATTAAACAAATTAAAACAATTTCAAATCAAACATTAATAATCATCCCCCACCATCGTGCAGCAGAACAACATTTGTTTAAAAAATTGCTCGTTGCCTGCTGTGAAAGTTGTGAACGGAGAGCTTCACTTACAGTAAAAAATTTTGAAATACAATCGAATCTTGCTATAATATACACCCTTAGGGATAAAAAAGACGTCTAATAAATAGGGCTGTTCAACTTGGACTTGAGTAGGGTTGTCAATTTCACCAAATTCTCATGTTAACCTTCGGGTTTTGGTTCGGTTTGAAAACAACAACCCTAGGCTTGTTTATTGACTCCAGACTTTTCTGGGGTCTTGGGGGTTGATTAGGAATTTGACTAAAATTGTGAAAAAATCAAACATAAATTTTCTCACAGTTATTAGTCCCCAATAATTACCATCAACACAATTATGGAAGAAAAAGAAATTTTTCACAATCTGAAGAGGATTGTTTCAATCGTAGTTGTTCCGATTGTGAAATGGAAAGAGAAGATAATGAAGATGAAGAGGATATTCCTTTTGAATGTGATGAAGAGAATAAAGCAGAGATTCATGATACGTTAGCCAATATGTATGTAAATTTAAGTTTAGTTAAAAATCAGAATATATTGGGATATCAGAATATTAGATAATAATCAATTAATCTTATGTGAGTGGTATTATTCGACATATCCTGTATGTGGTACCAAAATAAATGTGATATCTACGAAAAGTGTTCTGGGGCCTATTTCAATTGTCCGCAGATTCTGCATTCTGTGCACAGAACACAGACCGCAGAATCTGTGGACAATTGAAATAGGGCCCTGGGCTCTGTGATAATTTAGGCATGTTTCTGGGAGAGGTTGAGGGGTAGCAGTCAGGTCCTGTAAAATCTTCGGATATCGGGAGACCCTCAACTATATTCGGAACCAAATCGAAAGACCCTCGAATAGGTAAGACACATAATTTGGAAGAATCCAGAAGCCAAATATTTTATTAATCTTTCCCGATACCCTACCAATATATCTTCATTATTTTCAAGGTATTTTAATAAAGTTGTTCTCCCTGATATGGATTATGTTGAAGATTTTGTAGATTTTTTAATTGATGCCGAATTAAACGATTTGCCTGTATTAAAGCGAGCTTGTGAGAGATATTTATGCGGAGAATTGAATACTGTATGGATTTTTTTTGGAATTTAAAAAATTTTATTTTCTAGAAAAAAGAATTAATGACTTCTTTAATTTTGGATTTATTTTTTATTGCTATGGTTTTTCGATTGCCTGTAATGAAGTCTATGACGTTGACTGAACTTTGTGATCGTTACTATGAAATGGAGGATCTTGGAATTTTAATGGAGAGAGACGAATACAAGTACGGTAGAGGCTCGATAGTTTGTCACGTCTCTCTATTACGTCATCCAGATCAGAGGTGTGCCGAAACGGATTTCAAAAAGTGAAACATTATGACGAAAGACGAAACAACAGAAAGTGAAAATTCACTGAAAGGCACACTCCTGGTCCAGGCGGTGACGTTTTATCGAGATTGATTGTAACTTATTTGATTTTAAAAAATATATGGGAAGATATAAAGCTTTTAGTTAAAAATTTAAAAAATTCTTTAATTAAGAAGCCTTGATAAAAGAATTCGACAGCTTTGTGGAGACCGAAATTTGGCCGATTTAGTAGACGAATGTAAACGTTTCAGAGAACAATGCCTTCGTGTTCAACGTGTTAATTTTTGTTCTAAATAAATTTTAAAAATTTAAATAAACGCTAATAAATTTTATTGATATATAATTTTTTATCGGGAAATAGCTCTTAATTTTTTCCGATCAGGGCTGTTTTTGGCCAGCGGATTGTGTGAATTTCTTGGGTTTTTGGCCTGCGGGTTGCGTCACACCTGTTCCCAAGACCATTTTTATTTCGTATCATAAGTTAGTTCATTGATAACTTGTTTTTAAAATTTTCAAAAAAACAATTAGTATAACTCAACAAATTTATATAAATAAGACAAAGAATAGTCATAAACTTGCTGGCCGTAGGCTTTGAACATTAAAAAAAATTCTACTAACCCAACCATATAACTAAACTAAGAAAAACGGAATTTTCAGATAATTTAGACACTTCCTAGGAAAAAGATTTCCTTCCATAAATATTCAGAAAACTTATTAAATAACTAGCGGAAGGGGTCGCCCTTCGGGCGAGCCCCTTCCGCTAGCCAAATTCTAAACATTACAAAAACTTAAATTAGAACACCACAAACATAAACCTCACTTGTCAACTATTAACTTTAATTCAACTATTAACTAAGATTTTCAACTTCCAACTATTAACTATTAATATCTATGTCTAATATTAACTATCAACTTCCAACTATTAACTATTAACACTGATTCTACTATTAACTAAGACTTCCAATTTTAAACTATTAATATCTATGTCTACTATTAACTATCAATTTTCAACTACTAACAATGATTTGACTATTAACTAAGACTTTCAACTTCCAACTATTAATATATTTGTCTACTATTAACTATCAATTTTCACTATTAACAATGATTCGACCATTAACTAAGATTTTCAACTTTCACTATTTTCAACTTTTTCTATGTCAACTATTAACTATCAATTTTCAACTATTAACAATTAACAATGATTCAACTATTAACTAAGACTTTTAACTATTAACAATGATACAACTATTTAATAAAACTTCCAATTTTCAACAATTAACTATTAATATCTATTTCGCCTATTAACTATTAACCAACTTTCAAATATTAATATACAAATATTAACCAACTTTCAAATATTAATTTACAACTATTAACTATTAACCAAACTTCAAATATTAATTTTTAACTATTAACAACATTAACTATCAACTATTAACAACCCTTGTCATTTAACCGGTTGTTAGTCTCTTCTATCTCAGTCACTACCGCTTTTTTCTCACTCATTGTGGGACCGTTTTCTCATACCTATTGAACGACTATTTTCTCTTTCCTATTGACGAACTCTTTTATCTTGTTTACTGGCGAACCCTTTTTTCGGGCCATTTGACGGGCACTTTTCTTTTGCTTATTGCACGAAATCTTTTCTTCCCACCATTGTCAGACCTTTTCACAGTTTCGGGACACTTTTCGCTTCCCATTATTCCAACCATCGCCAGACTCTTTTCACCCATTTACGGGAACCTTTTCGCTAACCATTATTCCAACGATTGCCAGACCTATTTCACCCAGTTACGGGACCATTTTCGCTCACCTCAACCATTTCCAGACCCTTTTCACCCATTTACGGGACCATTTTCTTTTCAACTTTACTGGAACTATTCCCTAACTCTTTTATCAGAAGAAAAGCAAAATAAAACTTAAAAATTGATTAAAATAAAGAGTTCAAAAAACGAAAAAAATTACAGCAAAAAAACAAAACAAATTCTAAAAAATTCACATTCTTTCTTTACTTCTCTAAAGACACACTATTTTCTGTTTGGGATATTTTGTCATTTATAATTAAAAAAATAAACACAACGCCAAAAGTCTCGCAAAATTCAAAGCTGCGGACAGACAGACAAAGCATTCTAAAATTATATATAGGATATTTACCATTGATTGATTAGAACAAAATAATGAATAATATTTTTATAAAAAATGCTACATTTAAGCAATTTTATTTCCTCATTTTATTTATTTTTTTATAAATTCGTAAACAATCAACACATACACAATTCTCTCCCTCAACAATACTTTGTATTGTCATAAAAATAAATAATAAAAGATTTTTTTAATTAAAAAAAACAAGTTTTAGAAACGACACAAATTTGATTATTTTTACGTTTTTAAAAATTATTTTAAATAAATTTTCTATCAAATTTCTTCAATTATTTAAAAAATATTTATTTTCGTAAATAAATGTGACAAATCTTCTCATAGTTAAATTATAAATTGTACTTTATTTGACGGATTAAGACTGGAAAAATTTTAAATAAATATAAAGTTTAAACAAACAAATTTTACCCCCTTCCTTCTCTAAAAATTATTAATTAATTAATAACGATAAATATTATTGAAATTTAGTAAAAATAATAAATTTGAATTGCTGTCGGATCTCGATTTTACAAATGAAATTTGGTCTAAAAATCCTATCTAAAATTAAGGTGTGTCTGAAAGTAATATTTTTTGGATTTCTCATCTAGGGCAGTGTTGTATGTTTCGTGAATCGGGGACGGACATACCTGGCTCGGACATTTTCCAAATCTAGGCTCAGGGTACTTGATAAAATCGAAAAAATTTTGAACACCTCGATTTTATTCGAATAAAAATCGCACAGAACCGAAAACCCGAAGTTTTTCAGTTCGGTTAACCGAAGAATTTTGTGAAACCGACAACCCTACTCTTGGGCAATCAAATTAAAAAGATTATTTTCGAATAAATTCAAGTTGTTCATAAGTTTTTCGTAAGTAAAATCGTTGTCCGACTAGGCCTAACTATATGAATCTATTTTAATAAAATTTTTAGTCAATCAAAAATTATTTAAAAATGAAAATTTTATTTTTTATTTCTGTAATTTTTTTGTTAAAAATTGTTGAAGGAAATGAAGGAAATATTCGTGCATTGCCTCCATTCTATTTAAGAGTTACAGGATTTAAAAAATGTTTAGAAAGGTTGTTGAATTTTTGAAAATTATTCTCTTTCCACTTTTTTAACTTTTTCCGTGGTAATTTCTTAACAGCAAAGCACAGTTGGTTATTGGATGCTTCGAGGCTCAAAACTACTGTTCTTCCAAATCCTGGCTTCGTTTTAATTAAATCAAACCCAGGCTCATGGTACTTTCAGAAGCCAATTCCCAAAGCATACCCTGATTGCCAATAATCCTTTTTGATAGAAACGTCCGGGACTGAAAATTTTCCAAGACACATGACTCAAGACCAAGACTACACCCCAAAACCGAAAAAAACCCAAGAAAAGTCTTGGAATCATGACTCAAGACCAAGAGTCTCGGACGTCTCTACTATTTAGACAGCATTTCTTGTAGAGGGAGATTAATCTTTTAATTAAATTTTGAATTTAAAAACGATTCAGTCTAGGCGAAATTAAATTTTTCAATAAAAATATTTTTAAAATTTCCCCTCAATTGAATATCCCCCTAAAAAATTATTTTTGCAGCAAGGAAATAAACGGTGACCATGAAGTTTGGTGCTTCCCTGAAGATATACCTGCTGGCTGCGACCCTAATTCATGGGCACAATTAAAAGTATATTTAAATTAAAAATGTTTAAATAAAGTAATTATATTAAAAGGAACATCAAGAGAATGATGGACTTAAGCAATGTTGTAATATTTGAGAAAGAAAATTATTTTGACAAAATAAATGTTGAAATTAAGAATACATGCATGTACTTTAATTTAATTGCTAATTAAAATTTTAATAAAATTTTGAACAGTCAACCGTAGTTTTTACGCACTAAACAGGGCTGGACAAAATCTAGAAATAAAAAGCGAAACTTTTCGCGCTGAAAAATGTGAAAAATGCAAAATCAGCCCAGCAATGGTACTAGGGGTGGTTCTCCTTTTCCTCCTAAAGCAGAGTAGTCTTCACGTAACAGGAGTCGTGGATACTTCCATCTTCCTCAGAATTTCGGGTTTTTGTCCTTTAGCTTTCGCGTTCGATCTGCCTCTTTTTATTTTTTTCGTTTCCCTCAGCCTTCCACCTGTTAAAATGCGACTAATGAATTTATAATAAATAAACTGTTATCATTGCTGTTTATTTCTTCCTTTAATAACCCAAAAGTTTAGAGTCACTCCGGCAATAACTCGTTTGGGAATGGAAGTCTCACGCGAGCAGATGCAAACTTTTACCTTAAAGTGAGGGCACTTTGAAGTTTCTTGATCATATCTGTTCCTTGAGCAATTCTCTATTATCTAAGCTATATTTGATCATAATACCGTATTTCCTAAAATAGTACTCCCGGGAGTACTATTTTTCAACCCTCCTCCAAAGGGGAGTATTATTTAAGGGGGGAGTACTAATTCAGGGGGGAGTATTATTTTTCAACCCTCCTCCATGATTTATTATAGGAAAATTTATTTCAAAATTCTAAATGTTAGAGTAGAGTTCGTTATTTGAAAATGGCGGATCAAGTGGATTTGGAGTGATTAGTGAATTTGGAGTGATATCGAGGGATATAAGGCTAGATATCTAAATTTACCTCTACATCCATCTTGAACATTTATACACTTGATATGCATCAATCCCCTAGATATCCTTCAAGGGGATTTATCAGGAGATTACCTAATCCTCTGTGTATAGCGTTTACCTGTGTCTAGTGTAATCCGGTGTATAGAGATGTTCTAATCTCTGTGTCTAAGGATTTATCAGCATTAATCACCGATATCCTCCACATTCCTTTTGTTCTTCCAATATCCCTACAAATTATATGATATTCATATTTAGGCGTGATAACCAGGGATCAAATGAGATAAGTTGGATATCAGTGATTTGGATGTCTGGGTATTTTTGGATTAGAGGTAACTAAAAAATATCGGTGATTAATGAGGATTTATTATTCAATTTCATATTTATTATTATTATTATTATTCATTCAATTCAATTTCACTCTTAATCAACCAAAATGACCTAATATGACTGTCCTTCATTATTCCCTCAAATTACTTTATGAAACCATAATGCAATGATATCTTTTAGCCCCTCTTGATCAATCCAGAACACATTTTATCAACCGATACAATCACTTATATTCCCAAAATCCACTTTTATCCCACCAACTAATCACAATATATCTCTTCAATCGTCGACAAATTTTAGGTTGAAATTTCGGTTCGTTTTCGGTAACCGAAAGTTGTTCGGTTTCGGTTATCGAAGAATCAGGTGAAACCGACAACCCTACTTAGAATAAATAAAATAATTAAATTAGTAGATTTCAATAAAATAATTCATTGAGTCTACTATATTTTTTTCAAATATAGGGAAAAAATATTTTAGAGGGGAGTACTATTTTAGGGGGAGTACTATTTAAGGGGGGAGTACTATTTTTCAACCCTCCTCCAAAGGGGAGTATTATTTAAGGGGGGAGTACTAATTCAGGGGGGAGTATTATTTTAGGAAATACGGTATCTTTAATTTCAATAATGTCATGACAAAAATCATGCGTCCGGTATAGAATGTGTTTTTATTTAAAGACAAATCAAAAATTTTATTAAATCAGAAATAAAAATTCAAACGCCAGGCATAATCTCAAATCTGCCTTTTGTCGATTTCAAACCCTGAAGGAAGAAGATAGTCCCAAACGAGATCACAGAAAGGAACGAAAGTATTATCGGTATTAAAATAAATAAAATTAAATTTTCTTTAATTTGTTTCCTTCTTCCTTTCAATTCCTCTTTTTGTTCAAACTGTTCGCTTTTTAGACGCTTTTCAAATTCTGCACGGGTACGGACTACACACCTGCGCATGTTTGATAATGTACGGAAGAATGGGCATCCCTTTTAATTTTTTTTGAAAATTTTTTTTGTTTTAAGACTAACCAGGGAAGGACAAAAATAGCTTTCTTCAGCTATTGATACTTGATGTCGGGAGGAAAGGTTGTAGCGAGGCCCGGCAATTAAACGGTTCCATAGCCATTTTGCTGCATATGTATGGCCGAGACTAATTAATTTATATATAGTCAATTCCCTTATGTCTGTGAAGAAGCTCTCCGTATAATCGACTCCATCTATAAGAACCTTCTATATTATGGATTCCGTTTATGGCGACTCGGTCTAATTAAAGATAGTCTCTATGGAGACACATAGGATTTCACTCCTAAAACAACTCTATATAATGACTTCTTTAAGAACTCTTTCTTTGGGCCCTCAGTGCCCACCAAATTTATAGGGACTATCTGTAATTCCCCAAAATAAATATCCAAAGGTAATCCAAGATTGTTTCAGGAAATACAGAAAACCTCATAAATTTCTTCATGAAATTCTCCTTCCCTAAAATCCACCTAGTTATGGAAATACGGCAATACTCGAACAATTTCCTTGCCTATTAAGAAGAGGAAATTCTGACAGAAAAAGTTGTTCTAAAGGTTGCCGATTGTCTATACCAATCCTAAGCTTAGACAACGCCAAAAGGGAAAATGTTGGATATTTATTATTCTTCTCATAAAATTCCGCCTCCAATTGAGTTAGTGCTTTACGCCAAATTTGTTGTAAATTTGCAAGTTGAAAATCTGTAATTCTCGAAAGGCATGGACAGCGAGGCCTTTAATGAAGGGAAAAAACTTTTAAAAGAATTTTAAAGTAACTTTAATAAATTTAGAGTCAATTCAGAAGATCGTGCAACGTGTATAGGACCAACTAAGACTACAAAAAGTTTTGGAAGCGATCTGCGAAGTGTTTGGATCGAATGCCTTAGAGCTTCGATATTTGGCTGAAATTTGAGAAATTTTTGAAGTATTTTAATTAAAAGGAAAAATGAAGTTTGGACTAGAGTCGGGCCCTGGCAGGTCTCCGACGAAGTTTTGGGGTAGGCCTGAACATGATAGTTTTAAGGAAACCAGAGGATTTCAAGTTGTCCATTTTTTCAGTGTTCTAGCTATGAAAATCCTATGAAGATCCTTGGATTAAAATAACCCAAGAAAAATTATTTTTGGAAACCAACAGGATCACATTTTGCACAAAATTCTTCAGTTCCAACAGTTATAAAAAGCATTATCCACTTTTCTTTAAGCTGTTCTGTTGTATAATATTCTTTTAGGCGTTCAATCAGCCTTTTAGCTTGATCAGGCATTCCATCAGTTTCTGCTCCGCTCTCAGCTACGTTAAATTGGTTAGAAGGGAGTGAATCTACATTTCCCATTCCATGGGATATCCCTTCCAATTTTGGGTTGAATATGGACAAAATATCTGAAAATTGTGTGTTTTTATTAGAGAGACCGAACAGAAAAACAGAATAAAATTTGAAGGAATAGTGAAATTTTGATAGATCTTCAATGCTGCAAAGCTCAACCATCCGACTGGCTGATAGTTTCATTTATGATTTATCAAAAAGATTGGAATGAATTTTGCCGGCCCACCATCCACCGAGTTGATGTTGGATTAAGGCACACCAATTCTAATCCTCCATCCCTCGAGAGCCTACACGCTCATGAAAAATTTATTTTAATTTCAATCGTTACTAAAGCTGATTCCTTCTCGTTACTACCTCTTAAAAGATAGCTTTGCGAACTTGAAAATATGCCCCTTTAATTTCAGCTTAGAAAAGGGATTAACTAAAAGGGATGAACTTCATAGTAGTTCATCCTCCTTTAATTATAATATAAAATTAATTTACTAGCAAAGGTGACAAGACCATCAATATTAGCATCACCACCAACTGTAAATGCCGCACCACGAAACTCGATATTTTCTCCTTTGTATAGGCCTAATCCTGTCTTCAAAAAAATTTCCAAATTCAAAATAAATTTTTTTTTCTTGCCGAAAGTGCATCCCCCATAGCTGCTACAACATCAATGTCTTCTGGACTTAATTCGGCAGTTGAACTTCCAGTTGCCAATAATTGTTTAACTAAAGGACACGTAAATGTTTTTCGATTTTGAAACAAATCATCAATTTGTGATAAAGAATCTTCCTCATTTTCTTCTTCATTTTCTTCATTTTTATCAACAGTTTCCTTTTTTATTACAGTACTATTGTTAATTTTCTTTGTCCTATTTGAATCTTGTTCATCTTTTTTTAATGAAGGGGATTTTGGTGATAATAAATTTTGATTTATATTAGAACCATTCTATAAAAAATTAAATAATTTAATTTCCTAAAGTGTGACTTCAAGAAATTAAAGGATTTTTAAACTCTCTATGTTAGGGTTGCCGGCCCGGTTCGATAGATCGAACAGGGGCCCGGTTCTAAAATGGCAACTCTTATGTATCTGAACATGAACAGTAGAAGGAGAGCTGATTCCGTCAAAGATTTTTCAATACGTAGGGCTGAAACTAGATAACTATAACTACATATGTATATCTAGCTCTGACCAGGTCAAAAAATAAAAATTTAATTAAAATTGGGATTAGGGCTAGAATCATATTTCCTAAACAAAAAATCTTCGAAAATCGAAGAAAATAAAAAGAAATTTGAGAATAATTCATAGGCGGTTTAATAAAATATTTTAGGATCATCGGAAATCCTTTATATCGGAATCCGCGTTGAAATTTTAGGATATCCATATTCGAAATTGAAAAGGTCAGAAGTCATACTTATAATCCCAAATAAAAACATACATCTATCAATCTTTGAGCATCCAATTTAAATATAAATTTAATTAAAATTAAAAATAAAATTAAATTATTAATAAAATATTTAAAATAAAATTTACTCATTTCAAAAAATTTTTTTATAAAATTCAAAACATAATCGATTTAAAAAATTTTTATTATTGTTCAAAATGACTTTTCTCTCTCCCCTTTTATGTACGTCTTTCTATCTAAACTTTTTTTTTGAAAATAAACTTGTGATTATATGCAAATATATAACACTGACTGATAAAATTATCGATCACCATGTTAATAAAATTTCAAAAAGAATTTTGTGATTGTTTGCATTATGTCTGAGAAAGGAAGATTTGTGTATTTCGGAGGGTTGAATCAAGTCATGTGGATTTTAGTTATATCAGGATATTGCAAGGGAGCTAAAAAATAACGAGGGATCTGGTCTTCTGAAAATTGGGTGTTCCCACTTGGCCTTCAGAAATTCTCAAAATCTAAGACTTTTGGAACCGGTTCCAGAACAGGAACTGGAACCGAAGAAAATAAAAAAAGCAGTGTAATGCTATAGTAGAACATGCTATATTTAGTAGAACATCTAAGTTAGGGTGTATATTTTTTAATTTAGGTAAGAATTTCAAGTAAAATCTTTCGAAGTAAAATTTCGATCAAAAATCTCGATAATAGAGATTGAAATTTTAGTCTCTAATACTGACTTATTTTAACCCAATATTTTGTTTTGGTTGTTAACAAACTTTTTCTGTCCTTTATAGTTTTCAGGTTTTTATTTTTTAACTACATGAAACGAGGATTGGAGAACAACTATATATTTGATTATTTATTATTTTTAGTTTAGTATCTTTTAAATTCCAAAAAGTTTTGATTATTTAAAGATTTTGATTTTTGGATAAAGATTTTGGGTATTTACTTTTGAACAATTTTAAGCAATTTAGGTAGGTAGACAACCGTAAGTCGATTTTTTTAAATTTAATTTATCTTTAGCCATATTTTCGAAATTTTCACTGACTATATTATTCATCTGGGCTTGTATCACATCTGGGTTTGTATTACTTATATTTTTAGATGTTAAAAGGATTTTAAGAGTATCTTTTCTGTTAATTGAAATAAAATTTAATTTATCTTTAGCTATATTTTCGAAATTTTCACTGACTATATTATTCATCTGGGCTTGTATCACATCTGGGTTTGTATTACTTATATTTTTAGATGTTAAAAGGATTTTAAGAGTATCTTTTCTGTTAATTGAAATAAAATTTAATTTATCTTTAGCTATATTTTCGAAATTTTCACTGACTATATTATTCATCTGGGCTTGTATCACATCTGGGTTTGTATTACTTATATTTTTAGATGTTAAAAGGATTTTAAGAGTATCTTTTCTGTTAATTGAAATAAAATTTAATTTATCTTTAGCTATATTTTCGAAATTTTCACTGACAATCTGAATCTCATAGTAGTGTTTCCAAAAAAAAAAAAATTTTCAAAATTTTTACTGCTATATTTTCAAAATTTTTACTGACTATACATATTATTAAGACAAGAGATATTTGTGTTAAAATGAGAATTAATATATGAAAAGATCAGGTTACTTTTGTTTTCTTCTGAAAAATTCGGATTGCCATTAGAATCAAAAATGGTTGACAAAACTGATTTTTTATTTTTAAAAAATTTACTAACGTGTTTAAATTTAGAAGATAAACTAGTTTCTGTTACACCTCAGATTAGAGAGGATATTCCTTGGGATTTTCCTTCCTAGGTACGAATTGGGTATAGACGAAATATTTGAAAATTGTGTTTTTATTCAAGAGGCCGAACCGGAAACCAACATAAAATTTAATGGAACGATATCCTGAGACCTCTTTAAAGCTCAGCCATCCTATCAACAACTGCTTTTGTTTGCCACAACCCTCCATCGCCCATTATATGGGAGATGGAGAGATAAGGCAGGCAAATTTCCAGCTCTCCATCCCACAAACAGCCCGCCATTTCCTTCATTTGACACTAAGAATTCCTCTCTTTCAAAGGACAACAAAGCGCATGATTCCTTCCGATTTCCCTCTCATGGCTTAATTTCTCATGAGGGTGAGCCTTGATAATTTAAGAGCAATTACTTGTATTTCATGTCACACTTTAATAAAGGGATATAGCCCAGCTATAGCTTACCTATAGCTCACCTTAGCTCACATATAGCTCAGTCTATAGCTCATTCCCTCTCAGCTAGAGCTCAACCCCTCCCCTTTGACTAAAATATAAATATTCACTAGAAAAGGTAACAAATCAGTCATATTGTGTCACTACCAAGCTTAAATGCAGCGCCACAAAACTCAATATTTTCTCCTTTGTATAGACCTAATCCTGTAAATCTTTAATTTCTGATAAAGATGTATTTAAATTTTAAAAGACACAACATCAATATCTTCTGAACTTAATTCGACGTTGAACTTCCAGTTGCTAATAATTGTTTAACTAAAAAAATAAATTTTAAATTTTTGATAAAGATTCTTCTTCGTTTTCCTCTATTTTTTATTTTTTAATTATTACACGGTTATCAAACGTTAGATGGAAAACAGGACGTTAAGAAAATTGAGATATATGTAATAATTTTATTTATTAAACAAATTTTTTTATTCAGAATTTAAAATTAAATTTTTAATTTTAAAAACTTTAAAAAAGTTTAAAAATATTTTTAAATATAAATTAAAAATGAATGTTTCCATACTTATTTTCCATTTTATTTGTTCTAATTTTCTTCATCATATTTACGGGATGGATAGAGGTAAAAATTTTTTTATAAAATTTGCATCATAACTAGAAGTTTGATACATCCCGTTAGTAAAAGTAATCCTAAGCGGTTAGCACTGGTTTTAACACCAAGTTTTGTTCTGGATTTTCACTGCCCCTGGTTTGATCTACCGGGTTTCAGCGAAATCTGTAATCAAAAGTAATAATTCCTTTTTTCCGATGTAGTCAATTTCAATTTTTCTTTGACTGAGCTATCTGTCTTGATTAGAATTTTAAAATCAGTTTCGATTAGGGTTTGACCCCGAACGCTCGGGGGCGGGTATGTCGGGGTACGGGGTTTTCGAATTGTTTCGGGGCGGGGTTCGGGTCGGGGGAGCAAAATATGCTCGGGGTTCGGGTCGGGGTACGGGGGTTTAGTGGAAAAATTTTTTAAGGAAAATATGTTCTAAAAATAAGCCATTTTCGGTCTATTTTCGTTAATTTATTCAGAAATTAAGGGGAGATAGAGGAATTAGAGATAATATAAGAGGTTTTTTAGGGATTAAATGTGATTTAAGTTGTCTAACAAAGGATATAAAGGGATTTGGAGGGATTAAGGGAAGGATAAAGGCGATTTCGAGGGATTAAAATTGGTTTCATAGGATATCAGTGATTTTGGCTTTAATCTACACTAAGGTTGGCGGATCCGGATATCCGGATCCGAAAAAAGGCCGGATATCCGGAAATTTTCGGTTCGGATACCGGATCCGGATATCCTAAGATCAAACTATCCACCAACCTTAATCTACACCCTATATCGATTCAAATCCCATTAATCATTTCCTACGCCTAATATCAAATCCGCCGGTAAACTCCTAGCATTATAGCTGAGGAAATAAAGGGATTTTTGTATTAAGGACGGTTACTAAGGATACAGCGATTTGGAGAGATATAGAGGGTTAGGGATTTGAGGTGAGGGATTTGGGTCAAATATTTTGAGAATTTGGAAAGC